ATGAGATATTTTATACATATTCTTCTAACATGAGATATTTTATACATATTCTTCTAACCAACTTCGCTTGCACTACCCATTCGACATAAACCCATTGTTTCCGAACCAAAGTCCTCTTTTTATGGGATTCTGTTATAATTTCAAGTGATCCTCTATTCAATGAGGGCCATCAACGATTCACAACCTTATTTTAATCAAAAAAGAGAAAGATTTCGTCGTTTTTCAAGTGTTTAATTTAAAAAAAATTGTTCATTGTTTCTATATCAAGAAATCCGCAAATCGCTTTAAAAGGGTAACCACATTTGAAATTATATTTTTATGAAAGAGAAATCATGGATATCTCATGCATTCTTGGTTAAACAAAGCTTTTAAGGGTGCCGTTGTGAATCGGAAATGCCACTCTATAAATGGGGGGTCCGTTAAATTTCGCCCACCGTCCTTTTAAAGTTTAAACTTAAATTCTTCTGAGCATTCTCCCTTAAAAAGACTTTCTTAAATTGATAAAAATGACTCGTAAACCCTGATTAGTATTCTATTTAATATGATGACAAGTTCGAATGTATTTAAATCATGTAGATATACATCAACCTCTTGGAAAGCATGCATGTCAAAGAACCAATCCAAAATTAATCCGGATCAGGAAGAACAAAATTCAAATCAAGAAGAAGAGACTCTGGATCAAGGAGAAAAGAATTCGGATCAAGAGGAACAGACTCCTGCTCAGGAAGAACTGAATCCGGATCAGGAAGAACAGAATTTGGCTCAGAGAGAGCATATTCTGGATCAGGAAACGCAGAATCCAGTTTAGAACAGAATTCTAATGAGGATTAACAGAATACGGATATGGGAGAACAGAATCCAGATCAGTAAAAACAGAACCCGGTTCAGTTATAAAAAAATCCGGCTCAGGAAAAACCAAATCCGGATTACGCAGAACAAAGAAGTTGATTTGACAATAGTTGTACACTGTACAGTGCAAACAAAACTATTTTAAAGAGAAGAGAAAAACTTGTAAAAATGCAAAAACTAACAAACAAATCCGACACAAACCTGACTAGTTTGTTCCTGTCCTTGTATGGATATCAGATATATTGTTTAACAATACCTGAATCTACCTCAAACCATGAAGAAACCCAACCCCTGGATGTTCCAAGATATAGAGATTAGAATAGAAAGGTTGGAAGGGCGGGACGTATTAATGTCAGTTCTCCGGGTGCAACATGACAGAGGTCCACAGCTTGTTTTTTTATACTGTTTTGGTTTAAAGGGACGGTTAACGATATTTTAAGTGACCTTCCATGCAAAGATGGCAATACCCAATTCACAACGGTACCCTTAAAAGCTTTGTCTGATCAAGTATGAATGAGATTATTTTCAATTTTAGTTATCTATAAAAGTGACTTGCGCATTTCTTCTGCAGGAAAGCATATAGAAACTGAGAAGAATTAAAAACTATTAAACCTAGAGATATGACAGTATCTTTTTCGAAATCACTAAGAGAATGATAGTAATATATTAATATAATTATGGAATTTCGGACAAAATGTTCGTTAATTCGAAATGCTTTTTGAAGTTCAATAATACGAAGAAAATGTTAGGGTTTTTTTAGAGTGAGGTTGTAAAGAATGAATACACGAAATGTTCAAGGCAACCTGAAAAAAAATTCAATATTTCTCCGTTCTGTTGGAAAAAATTTGAGAGAAGAGTTTTTTCTCTCTGGGATTGATGCACTACTATGGGGTTCTAGGAAGCCCGGAGTAAATTGAATATAAAAACCTTCTCTCAACCGAGGGAGGGATCTTGTTTAAATATTTTTTTGGGCTGTCAATTATCATCAGCTATTATCCCATCATGAAACTATGAGGTATTTGTACTTTTACCCCTACCAGGCTAATTTCAAGCAACCAAGAAACATAAAAACAGGAACAGACAAAATGTTTACTCCAAAAGTGTACTGTAATGTTTATCAACATTTTCTGACTGAGAAATGTAAACTTCGTACTCTTTTGATATTCCTAGTTTCTATATTCCTTGAATGCAATTATTATCTGTAATATTTCAATATTTATACAGATAATGATGATATATATCTAATGTATAATTCAAATCTCGGTCTCTGAAGTTATAATACAATGCATAATACAGATGTAACATTATAGTGGGCAGTTTCATATTTATATCATTAATTGACTTTTATATTATATAATATATCCACCCTCATATCAAATTTCCTACCCNCCCTCCCTCCTCCGAATTCCCATTTCTTGTGACAAATGAAAAACTGTGTCGTAAAGCAAGTAAATGTTTAAATATAAACATTTTACTTAAAAGAAACCGTATTTATTTGTGTAAGGTAATAAAATATGAATTAGTATTTGTTTAAGGGTGAGAAAATAAGAAAGAATGACTTTGAATGTATTTGTAATGTTTTATAATAGGTTTGATTTCACTATAGAATAGAAATTAATTTTTTGTATGTTTAATTATGTATATGTACGGGCAAGGGGGGGATTGATAGCGTATATCGCATTTTATCATGGACGTGACTCGAATCCCATTTCAGTCTTAGCTCTTACACAATCTCAGAGCTCTCTGCCTAGCTTACTTACTAACTTTAGATGACCAGATAGACCTTTTACATATTCTTAAACGACCACATAGCCAAAAAAGTGTGATTAAAGAAACTCTAAGGTTATGTTATTCACAAAAAAAAACAATTTTATAAAAAATCTTGATTCTATTTTTCTAGACTGCGGCCTCATCGCTGTTTTATACGACTTATCAGTTTCCCATTTCAGTTTATGAAAATACTTGTTCGACAAATAAAAATAACGAGTTTAAACAATTTCTTTAAAATTTTTTTACAAATCATAGAAAATTGGTTGAAAAGTTTGCAATAAAAATGAAGTACAAAAGGTTCTATCTATATAAGATATTATATTTAGCTGGGCTGATACAGGGGGTTGGGCTATGAGCCTAAGTACCCTTGGAAAAGTAAAGCTATAATTTCCAATTCCAATTTCCATCTGTAATGTCAGGTTAAGCCACTTTTGTTTGTTTCTTTTCTTGTGGTTTTCAACAATTTTTTATTTATTTTTATCGATTTTGATGGTTATTGTATCGTTAGAACTGACGAGGGTCAACCCAGACCGAAATATATTTTCAATAAATGTGGAACTAACATCTACGTTTTTAAGAGGTTTGGTCCATCACCATCACCGAATTTTACCATCCTTTATAATAAATGAGTATCTGGGGTTTGAAACTAAATCTCAAAATAATGATGAAACCTTAGTTTACTAATCTATGATTGATCCCTTCTACTAGAAGGAATGGGATAATCTCGTTAGAATAAGGAGGTAGAAGGGGGAGACATTGTTCTAAATAGGGGGGGNTATCCAGTTTTGAATTTTACAAGAAATGATATATTTGAAGAAAATTCCAATCCCGAAAATGTCAAATATAATTTTATTTTATATTTGGGTTATTTTTAAATCAAATATATCTTTCATCCAAACCCCCAACCCTCTGCAGCATTTAAGCACTTCAAGTTTTGTGGACAAATTGGTTTACTTTTTTAAGGCAAAGGAACTGATTAATTTGTTTCACAAACTCTTATTTTCTAACTCTTATATCTTTGCAACCTGATATTGTAAATATATCAAACTAACAAAACATATCAAAGATGAACATCGACAGATAAAAAAGAAATATTTGTTCCTTCCTTAACATTTAAAAAAATGGTATCCCAAAAATTTATACTTTAGCATTAAAAAAATTTACATAGATATTTAAGTGAGGGGGGGAATTTAAGGAATATTTAACACCCCTTTAATATTTATACTGAAGGTATTTTGATAATGCCGGCCTAAGAAGATGATAAAACTACGGCATGTGCTATAAACTAATTTATGGTGGTAATATTTATCAAATAAATAAAGTATATATCTACATGTATATATATTATATATACCATATATTTCAGAGTGTAGATATAATCTGTCAAAACATTCTGTTAGTGTGAAAAAATCACGAAAGTAAAATTTATTTTTTTTCCAGATTTCTTTCCTCAAACTCAAATTTTTTAATCCCTAAATGTTTGATATTTCAAACTTTGACTGTTTGATAAAACAGAATTCATAATTAAAATATCTAAGATCTACTGCATCAATCTGCTTAGACAATGTAAAGAAAAACCAAATTATAGAGCATATTATTTTAAGTATATGATAAACACATCTTATTATTGTGAAGCATCTATCTAAAGATGGCAATGCTCAATTCACAACGGTACTCTTAGAAGCTTTGTCTAATCAAGAATGAATTAGAAATCTATGTTTTTACTTTTGAAAACTGATTATTTTTAATGGTCGGTCCTCAAAAAAAGTGACTTGCGCAATTCTACTGCATGAAAACCTATTTGAAATCATCAGAATTGAACACTTTAAATCATAGAAAAACTACAATATTTTGAACATATTGACCAAATCAAAATTTCAAGGGTACCGTTGTTAATCGGGTATTGCCATCTTTGCATTAAGGGTCACTTTAAATTACGGTAACAGTCCCTTTAAATGTTTAAAAACGGACAAACAAACGATTCCAAATGTCCATCTCTAACAAACTATACTCGTAAGTCTTATCAAGGAAACAAAACAGATGATAAATAATCGAGCAATGGCATTCTTTTATCTCAGTTCTAATCTTCTTTGATATATCCAACTCTTTCTTTTGAAACATTCTTCTAAGTTTTAATAACAATGTAATTTTTATACAAAATGGGACCGGATTTAATGAATTTGAGTTAGGTTGCTAAACTTCCTCTTCTGGTTCAAATCTTGAACCATCGATTCATCGAATCATTAAATTCGATCAAGAAAACGGATCTAATTTGAAAGACTAAAAGTTAACAACTAAACGCCGTATGAGAAATGATAATTAGGCCGGAAAAGTTTCAGTTTCATTTTTCCGTTTGGTTTGGTTACATGAAAACTTCCTACCTCATCTTCAGATTCTGCTGAACCACTAGATTCTGTATCCATTGCTCTACTCTTCTCCTAACAGATAAAAATAAACATTAATATATCTTAGATTTTGTATTTTCATAATGGTCTTTTAAGCCGGTCCTAAAAAAACCTTCCGTCCTAATTACAAGACTTCTCCGACTTATTTAGAAACCCTCTTCATCTTCTTTTTAAGAATACCTCTCTGTCCTATAAAAAAAACTCTCAGTCTTAGCAAGAATACCTCTTATTCCTATCAAGAAAAGACACATCACTATCCTATCAAGAGGGACTTTCAGTAGAAGACCTCTCCGTCATATTAAAAATATCTCTCGGTCCAATCAAGAAGACCTCTTATTCCTATTACAGAAAACTCTCAGCCCCATCAAGAAGACCTCGACTCAGTTCCATCATTAGACAATTAGAAAACCCCCTCCGTCAAATCAAGAATACCTCTTATTCCTATCATGAAGACCTATCATTCCCATTAAGAAGATCTCTCGGCCCGATCAAAAAGAACTCTCCATCCTATTAGGAAGATCTTTCCTCTCCGTCCTACCAAGAAACTTTTATCCGTATCACCCGTCCTCTTCATCAAATATGCAATACTATTCCAAACTGTTATATACATAAAATCCTCCATGTCTTTCACACCAGACGTGACCTCTTTTTACTACCTCTTAATTTTTCTACTTTACATGAAGAAACCAACCTGTGGATTCTGAGGTTCAAATCTTCCCTGTTTCTCCTGTAGATTAACTTGATCCGGTCTATTGAACAATGTCACGTTCTCAGCTCTGGAAACTCCAAACCCCTCCGTCCTGACCATATTCTGCAGATTCTCCGCTCTTGGCAGAGCTGTGATCTGGCCGTTTTCTCCAACCAGGACGTATTGTACACTATTCATCCCTGCTCCCCCTCCTACACGCTGAAAAATATAATTGATAAGATAATAATTAAGATTTATCAATTTGAATTAAAACACACACACACGGTTTGAATACGAGCGTGCGCGGAGTATGTTTGATCTGAAAGACCACCTATCCGCGCCCTGCGCACACTGACGTTTTACAAACCCATCATTTGCCCCCCAACCCCACCCCTACCCTAATTATACCATATATACATCTTTTTATGCAGAGAACATGATAGATATTCCACCATCAGCCGTATTTTGCAAACGAAGAAAGTTCGAGGGGGGGGGGGGGATGAAAAGGGGGACGAAAGAGAAAGGGGAAAGCAAAAGCAAAAGAATGAAATAGAACTATAAACATAAACAAATGCACTAATGGAAATGGAAAGAGTTTGAGTAGATCTGAGTTAAAATTATCTCTAAAATCTTGATAAGACAGAGTATAAATAGTCCAATTAAAACTTCTATCAAGGATGGATATTACGTCATTAATTATAGGTTTATTCCTCAATAAATATAGTTATCTAGGTTCAGAGCAAATAGTTAATAACGGAATTTTTGTAATAGTTTTAGTTTCAGATGTTACCTTACTGAATTTTTTTTTTGGTTTACATTTTAAAGAAATGCCATTTTAAGATTTTTTGATTTTGATTGGACGTTTATCAGATAGCTAGTTGAAGTGCCCGGCGTTGCCCGTGGACTTTTTTAAATTGAATTGCGAAAAAAAATAATTTTAAAAAGAAAAAAAATATTTGTATTGTATGTTACCCCGGGGAACTTAAGGGTTTCCTTAAGAAACGTCAGTCTAATCGGTCCAGCAGATTTTTAGCCTTTAGCTAACATGTATATGAGCGAAGAACTTTAATATATAGGAAAAACAAGCAGACCCAAAAAAGACAATCGGATGGGAAGACAGATAAGAGAGTGTGAAAAACATAGAAGGTTTAGAAAATAGAGGAAAAAAGAGGAAAAAATCGTTGTTGATAAAGAAAATATAAGGGGTGAGGGGCTGACAGGTTGTAAAGTGGGCGGGGGGGATACTGATGGAAGGTTAGGGGGATTTGTAAAGAGGGGGAGATAATATCAATTAATCAAATGAAAATTTCATTTATAACATGTAATCTGATACTAGAACGGTGAACAAGTTAGTATAAGTACAAGTATAGAGATCAACTTAAATTCTAACGAAAATAGCAGTTTTAAAAGTAATTTTTTGGTAATTAATCAGACATGCCACTCTATATCCAATCACGTTTACAGTCCTTTAGATCTATAATTAAGGAAGGTTTGAATAATGCACTGATCAAATCGGCGTTTAAAAAAGAATTTTTGGAAATATTTGTTTGAAAATATCTTAAGGGGGTGCTTAAGAATACCACCACGCATAGTAGGGGTTTAATGTGTAGAGGAAAACGTTTTTGTTAATTTAATTGAATAAAATTAATTGTTTTTAATTTTAACGAATTAAGAATAAAGAGAGAGAATATTTCAAAAGGATAAGAACGTGATGAATAGAATTTCAAGAAAGCAGAGAGAGAAAAAAGAAAACAGAGAATTGAAGAGAATAGAAAGAAAAACTAATAAAGAAAATGGAATAAGGGAAAAAGAATGAGAATGAAGTAAAGTGGAATGAATGATATAAAAGATAAAAAGAGGAAAAAAATGAAAAAATATTTTAAGTGGTTTAAGTTAGAATGTTACAGGGTTACCCATAAAGAATAAGACTTCAGAGCCGACTTATAGAATGTAGAATTGTCTGTTTTCTTATACTTATTAATTTCTGTAAATGTAAACTTGTTTCTTTCTTTGCCAAATAATTAAATAAGCCATTGAAATACTATTTTTAAGGCAGACGACTTAATTTAATCTTAGAATCGGCATTTTTAAAGAAACTTTACAATCTCATCCTTTCTGGATAACCCTGTATATGATAGTTCATTTAAGAATGCAAGAATGATGATGGTTGGGTTCTACAAAATATATGAAACTGGGTAAAATGTTTTATATAGGTTGGCCAAACCTAACATTTGCGTCAAGTGTCAAGTTTTTCACGGGTACTTAATCCAACATTTTTTATAAATACCCCTTTGTATGTCAAGTCGTATTTATACTGCTGAATCATTAAAGATTACTCCCCCCCCCCCTCCCCTCCTGCAGGTCCTAGGCCGACAAAGGTAAACTGGAGCAAGTTTATATTTTTCAAGTTGAAAGTAGGGGGACACAACAAGAAGTGAGGGGGGGAGGCCGGGGGCATTTAGGGAGATATTGATAGCATAAGGAAGAGAAAGGGGGGGTGAGTGAGGGGGGGGGGATAGTTGTAAAGTAAAAAAATCTCCAGGTTTTAACGAGAAAGCTGTAAAACTGTAAAAGTATGCAAAACAAGGGAAGGTTACGAACATTAAGAGATACTTAAGCTTCAAGCTGAACAAGAAATCTCCAAAACTCTCCAAACAATTGCAGTTTTCCTAAAAATCTGCGAAATTAATCTCCATCCCAAAGTACAGACTTACAAAAAAATTTAGGGGGATTTCTATCAAACCCTTTTAAGACTCCCTTGTCTAGTTTAATCTAGCCTGGAGTCCCTGGAGTCGGCCAGTTTTTAACATTTTATTGGATGATTATGTTCACGTCTTAACTATTCATTTAAATTCAACCAACGCACTCGTTTAGTTTTAACTACGGAGATATTTGTTCAATTCAATTTAGTTTTTAGTCCAGTAAGTCCAGTTTATGCTTTTTATTTCGTTGCATTTTTTTGTGATTAATATATTAGATTGAAAAGAGTTAAACAATATTTTTGAGCATTTTTATCAGCATGGAAAACAAATGGATTTTTTGTCATTATAAAAAGGACAAGAGTCGTAATAATTAGCCGTATATCTGAGCTAAGCTGAAAACTTAAGAATGAGATATCCTTAATCCCGAATCGCTTAATCTAAGTATTTAATGTACACACTTTTGATTTTCTGCTTAATCCTTTTTTGGATATCCCTACTGTATACAAATTTTGTTTGATAACAATTACAGATACGATGCTTTATCGATTGGACTAATTTCAGATTGAACTATAGTTGTTCACAAGCACAAGCTGGCTTTTTGAGCATTTAAACAAATATAAATTTAATCATGTTATATGACCTCATTAAAAAACACCTTTTATCACATTTGAGGACTATAGCCATTTTGAACGTTAGTCTTAATAAACATTAATCCAAATCTTACGTTAGTCCAATCGATCATTAGTTCAATTGATATGACACCATCCGCACAAGAAATGCGCAAAAATAAAAAAAAAGAAAAAATAGAGCCCACTCTAATCTCTAGAAATTAATCTAAAGACTAAATTAGTCTTAATATTAGCAAAAAGCATTGATCTCGATATCCATAATTCTAAAGTTTTCAGCTCAGTAGAAATAGGGTTTCTACAAACTCAGTCTTTTTTTAAAATCTTGTTTACTTTTGCGGTCGGGTTTCACCCATAGTGATCAAAAGATTAAATTACAATTTAGAAAAATATAATTTGTGACAAGGTTTTCTTCGGTCCTGACTTTAAAGAACATATGTTCGCCTTAAATCTTTATCCCTCTATATCTGAAAGTAGGCACTGGTTTACTGTATCCTGGAGTAGGTTCATATCCTGTAGGTTGATGTTCTAGTATCCTGGAGTAGGTTCCCTGTATCATGTAGGTTGATGTTCTAGTATCCTGGAGTAGGTTCCCTGTATCCTGTAGGTTGATGTTCTAGTATCCTGGAGTAGGTTTACGACAGCTTGCAAAAAGCTAATTATTCCCAGGTAGTAAGGATAGAACTAAAGAGCTATGGTCAGCAGTCGAAGTCTGCTAAAGATTGAGCCGATTTTGTGAACTAGTTTTTCGCAGAAATCCATTAAAAAGGATAATTAAGAACCCCCCCTCCCCCCTCCCCCATTACACCCATCTGAACCCTATATCAACCTGTAATTCTTCAGACACTAAAATGTCTAAATGTTTATTATACCTAAATGTTTCCGAATAAAATAATATTCACCCCTTCCCTAAAGACCCACGTATACTATTTTCTTCTATTATGAATAGTTACCAGATTCTGCTTGTTAGAAGATTCCTATCGAAGGATAATAGTATAATATAAACTGATAATATACGGAGATACAGACTAGTGGGTTAAGGATCAATCAGGAAGGATAGATAGATAGGTCCGAGAAAAGTACAATAAGAGAATATATTTAGTGCTTAAACCCTGAGCAGTGTGTGGAGAGTGGAAGACCAATAAACTGAGAGATAGTAAATGGAAAGATAGAGAGATAACAGATTTATTGGCCGGAGGAAACTTTACTGAAAACAGAGAATACGATACTTCTGTATGTTGCGTTGAGGTCACTACAATATTTCTTAATGTTTTTTTTTAAATTTCTACGTTGCTTTAAGAACAGTGCATACCCATTATTTGTGAAATGATGAAAGATATTTTGGTCATAGATCTGTCTAAATTCCTACTATTTTTGCCCCATTTCCCGCATTTCTGTTCAGTAATAAAAAAAAGAGCGAACACTTAAACATTCAAAAATAGATTTAACTACAATTCAAATGACGATCTCTTTTAGAGTTTATCGTTTACTACATAGTTCTCTTTTCTTAAACTGTTGAAAATTGAAAAAGTTAAAGTATTTCCTATTAGTATAGCATTAGAAAACGGTAATTTAAGCTAATATTTAATGCAGGGATATTGGATAGTGTTTATATAATTTTAAATTCGATTGAATTCAAAAATCTTTTGGAATCTCTTTTTCTTCAATCTTGTATTAAACGTAAAAATACAATATGGGAGTAGAAAAATGCATTGGAAAATTCCCTTAAAAAATGCTACTAATACTAGTTGCTTTATAATCTATTTGAGATAACTACCGAAAAAAACTAAAAAAATAGGAATAGTCTTATATAATATAATTCAGTAAACTATGCGAAAAAAACAAAAAAATGAAAAAGACTAATAACATTTTTAAACATATATTTTTTCTTTATATAGATAGATACTTATGTAGAACACAAGTATTCTTAAAAGTATTATTTAAAAAAACATAAACATTACGTTTCAATTTGACAGGAGTATATCAAAAATTAAAAGGAATTGAGTTTTTGCCACAAAATCGAATTTTTTAATCCTTTTATCTTGGCAACCTGATGGTGGAAATTTAGGCTATTTGATCTAACAGAATTGATAGTTTGAAATATCTTACGTCTACGAAATTGGGTTGCAAAGATATAGAGATTAGAAAATCCTAGTTTGTGACAAAGACTCAATTCCTTTATAAATTTTTAAAACCGAAGCTGCTTTATGTTTCGTTTACGTCTTTTTTTTAGACAACAAAACAAAACAACTGTTGATTTAGTAAATACCTTTATTATTTGCTGATGAGATGTTGTTTCCAAACTTGACCTATGCTCCCCCTGACCTCTTGCCTCCGGAGGGAGTTCAACTGACCTCCTAGCGAGGACGGGAAGGTTAGAGAGGTGTGAGGCTGCAGACATGTTCTCTACTGCCCGAGGATATGGTTTGTAAACACCTTGAGGCGCTCTGCAGCTCACTCACCAAAACCAGTCTCAACCTAACTGCGGGCAGGTGGGTACTCACGTTGCCGCGGGGGGCGCAGAGCTTGCTCGGGGCGGGGGGACGACTGGCCGGGAGGGAGTATCCCCCCTTCCCCTCACACTACCCATCTAATACCATGAGTATAGTTGACCGAGCCGTTCTTCCAACAACAGGTACTTTGTGAGGAGGGGAGGGGAGGGGGGTCAGGTTGGAAAGGGGGCGAGGCGGGTAGTGGGAGGGAGGATAATGATAGAGGGAGAGATTCTATACCAAGTGCTATGTTTTGTAACCCCGACTGTAAAGTTAAAAACAAGAATCAGTGTGCGCAGATTTTAGTTAAAAACATGTTTACACAGTTCAATATATTGATCCTCAGATAGTTATATTCTGCACAGGGATTAAACTCTGTTCCCTGTCTAGTTGACTATCCTACTATCTATCTATCTTCTCGTTTATTTCTCAATTTTTGAGCTGCTAAATGTATTCAACTGACCACCAATCCTATCTAGCAATCTTACAGCACAAAACCTTACTCCACCCCCTTTGCCTAACCCACCCCCACCTTAAACTTCATCCTCCCACTTTGCATCCGTCCTCCCCCTTTCCTTCATCCTCCAACCCTACCCTTTACCTCCATCCTTCATTACTCTTTACATTCAACCCTAGTTATAACTCAATCCTCCATACCTGATCTTTTCTCAATCCATTTAACCTTAACCTTTATCTCCATCCCCTTTCCCTGACCTATCCCTCTATCCTCCACCCCTATCCTTCAGCCCCATCCTTTACCTTTTCCACCGTTCTCCAATCCTACCCTTCACCTCCGCCCTCTACCCTTTTCACCGTTCTCCACCCTTACCCTTCACCTCCACGTACTCTACATTTTTCACTGTTCTCCCCCCCCCCACCCTTTACCTCCATGCTACCCCTTGCCTCCAACCCTACACTTTTTCCTTTACCTTCTTCCTCTATCCCTGACCAATACCTGCTTTCTCCAACATTACCCTTCACTTCCATCATCTATCCCTGACCTATACCTCTATTCTCCACCACTACCCTTTAACTCCACTATCTACCTTTTTCCCTGTCCTCCATCCATACCCTTCACCTCCATCCTCCACCACTACCCTTTAACTCCACTCTCTACCTTTTTCCCTGTCCTCCATTCATACCCTTCACCTCCATCCTCCACCACTACCCTTTACCTCCATCCTCCTCACTCTCCCTTCTCCCCACTCCCCATTCCCTCCTCCATCACCTTTAAATATTAGTTTTAATTGTTTAAAGTTATTCATAAGAATTAAGAGAACAGGTCAAATTTTGTTTTGAAAAGATTCCCAGAGATTTCTAGGATTAGGATGGATATCAGTTTATCTGGGGTTCGGAGTTTCTCACCATTATGCGATCTATCCTTCTGAATTACAGGCTATCACGGCTACCATAATACAAGAATGGATTTAGAGAGAAAAATAGAGATAAAATGGGATAGAGGATATCATTAGGCGGTATAAAGATACAAGGACAAATATACATATCATAGCATTTGTATATACTAACCAGGACGTATATAGCTCCTAGGACGGATACACATACAAGGATGGAAACACATACAAGTGGACGGATACACATACAAGGACGGAAACACATACAAGGACCGATACACGTGGACGGATACACATGCTTGAACGGATAAATATATAAGAACGGATACACATAATATAACGAATACACAACACTGTAATGGATACACATACTAGGACGGAAACACATACTTAGACGGATACACATACTAGGTTGGAAACACATACTAGGACGGATACACATACTAGGACAAATACAGATATTATGTTGGATACATCTATTATAAAACGGATACGGATACAAGGATGGATACAAATACTAGGTTAGATACAAGCACGTCAAACTAAAGAAAATTGCACGGAAGATTGATATCTTAATTGTTTTCAATCATAACTCCTCTTATCTAACAGCTTTTGAGAAATACAAAAAATATTAAAATTTCTAATATGTAACCGGATAATTTCAATACTTCTGTGTAATATCCCAACAAGAGGGCCTATAAGATAAAAAAGCACTTATAGTAATGTCGCATATATTTGACCTTATCCTTCTGTCTTGTTTGCAGTGAGGATATTATTGTAATGTATAAAGAATAAAGATATAAGAACTAATACAAATACGAATACAAAAATACATGAATAAAAAATACAAGAATACAAAAATACAAGAATACAAAAATAAAAAATCCGCGAAATTAGAAGTATCTAACGTAAATTTATGATTTGAAATGATATAAAATTTGTCATTTAACTATTAAAAATACAGGTATTACGAAACTTTTTTCGATGAGTATTTAATTTGAATAAAATCTATATCAAATCTATATCCGCGTTACAGCTCTAGTGGTTGAAAAAAAGTAAATAATTATACTGTAATGGAGAAGTTGGAGTAAATAATGATGCTGTAATGGAGAAGTTGGAGTAAATAATGATACTTTAATAGAGGAGTCGGAGTAAATAATGATACTTCAATGAAGAAGTCGGAGTAAACAATGATACTGTAATGGAGAAGTTGGAGTAAATAATGATACTTTAATAGAGGAGTCGGAGTAAATAATGATACTTCAATGAAGAAGTCGGAGTAAATAATGATACTGTAACGGAGAAGTTGGAGTAAATAATGATTCTGTAATGAAGGAGTTGGAGTAAATAATGATACTTTAATGGAGGAGTTGGAGTAAATAATGATATTTTAATGGAGGAGTCGGAGTTTATAATGATGCTGCAAGGGAGGAGTCAGAATAAATAATGATACTGTAACGGAAGAGCTGGATTACATATTGATATCGTTACGGAGGAGTCGGAGTATATTGTGATACTACATTGGAGGACTCGAAGTAAATAATGATACTACAATGGAGGAGTCGGAATATATAGTGATAATACAACAGAAGAGTCGGAGAATATTGTGATACTATAACGGAGGGTTGGAGTAAATAATGATATTGCAACGGAGGAGTAGGAGTAATTAATGATGCTGTAACGGAGGAGTCGGAGTAACTAAGGGGGAGTACCATTAAATAAAGATACTACAAGGGAGGAGTCAGAGTAAATAATGATACTGTAACGGAGGAGTCGGAATAAATAATGTACTTCAATGGAGGAGTCGGAGTAAATAATGATACTACAAGGGAGAGTCAGAGTAAAGAATAATACTGTAACGGAGGAGTCGGAATAAATAATGATACTTCAATGGAGGAGTCGGAGTAAATAATGATACTACAAGGGAGGAGTCAGAATAAATAATGATACTGTAACGGAGGAGTCAGAGTAGATAATGATACTGTAACGGAGAAGTCAGAGTAAATTATGATAATATAACGGAGGAGTCAGAGTAAATAATGATACTGTAACGGAGAAGTCAGAGTAAAAAATGATAATGTAACGGAGGATTCAGAGTAAATAATGATACTACAAGGGGAAGTCGGAGTAAATAATGATACTATAAGAGGGGAGTCGAAGTAAATAATGATACTGTACTGGGGGAGTCAGAGTAAATAATTAATGATTCTGTAACGGAGGAGTCGGAGTACATCATGATACTACAAGGAGGAGTTGGAGTAAATAACCAGATTACAAAGAAGGAGACGGAGTAAATATTTATATTGCAACGGAAGATTCGGAGAAAAAAATTATACTTCAACGGAGAAGTCAGGGTAAATAATGATACAATTGAGAATACAGAAACGGATGCAGATACTGTAAAATGATAAAAATAGGCAAAAAATAAGACATATGTAAATATTAAGATTCATACATATTCTAGGACGGGTACAGATACTGGACTTCAGTGGATTCAAATATTAGGATGGATGCAGATACAAGGAATGGGTACAGATTCTTTTATCAAAACCGACACAAAGACTAGGAAGGATAAAAAGTCTAGGACGGACACATAAACAGTGGTAGGCGATTATATCTATACAAGGAAGACGACTTTTCTTTTTTAGCTTTTTTAAAGTTACAAGTTTACAGGTAATCAAAGAGAAGGTTTTTTAATTGATAGCTTCTCTTTACTTCTATGTTTATTTGTATCCATGCTGTTTAACAGCTTGATATAAATCAAAATTTAAATCAAAAGTCGTCTTCTTTGTTTTGATATAATCGCCTACCAATGTACTAGAATTGATACTGATACTAGGACAGATAAAAATTCTTGGACGGATACAGATACTATGACGGATACAAATACTAGAACCGACAAGAAAGATATACAGTCCAACATTACATTAAGAAATTAGGGAACGAATACAAATTCTTTGACGGATACAGATTTTAGGAGGAAGACGGATACTAGGACAGATACAAAATCTATGAAGGATACAGATACTATGACGGATACAAATTTTAGAACTGACAAGGAACGATACAGATCCAAAGTTACATTAACACATTAGGCCGGATACAGATACTTTGACGAGTACAGATTTTAGGATGAATTCAGATAATACGACTGATACAAATTCTAGGATGGATAATGGATACAGATACTAGGACGGACACAGAGACCCAGCTAATTATTTGAAGTTTTTTAAACTTCAAATAATTTTAAATAATAAATTTTTAAACTTTAAAATTACTACTACCCTGAAATACTTAGGTTTAATTTCTCAAGTTGGATAAATGGTCAGGATAAAGTTGAATAAAATTTCTGAAAGTCATAAAATACATATTCTCATTTACATGTTTACATATGTGCACCTCAATGCATATTTACTTTTCTCTCCAGGTTCTTATATACACTGTACACTGTACTTTCTGGGTTTAAACTTAGAGACTTCAACGCCGGATACAAGCGTACTCTAGGATTCCCATCAAAGCAACTGTCACGTGGCCAGATTCTTAAAAAATAGGTTTATCTGGGAGGACTAGACACTTGTAAAAAATAATTTGGAAATGACTTCGAGGTGGCTCGGACAAGAAAATGAGGAGAATGTGGCTCAGATTAGAAAGTGTTGTGGTTGGCCTTCCTCCCCTCTTTGAACCACCATGAAAATGTTTTGCCCTCTGATTAACAAATCATATCACTAAACTAGAAATATATATTTTTTAAACCATCTATCTAACCAATGATTTATAAGAATGAAAATAAACTGTTTAACATCAATCAAACTAATCATTTTTATATCTCATTAATTAATTTCTATCTATATAACTATATAACTATCTAAAACTCCAAGTATCTACAATAATCTGCCTATCTAAATAAACATCTAACTAACTTCATAACTATTTCTCTAAGCAAACTATACAACTATCTAAATAAACACTTAACTAACTACATAAATATCTAACTAAACATCTAACTAACTACATAACTATCTATCTAAACATCTAACTAACTACATAGTTATCTAACTA